CTGCGCTCCACCTGCACCTATGTGGGAGCTGCCAAACTCAAGGAACTGAGCAAGAGGACGACGTTTATCCGGGTCACCCAGCAGCACAACGAGGTCTTCTCCTAGCCTAGGCCTGGGGGCCTGGAGAGAGGGCTGGGGGAGCAGAGCAGGAAGGGCTGCTCTTTGCTTTCTCCTCCATGTTGTGTTAGTGGCTAACTTCCCTCTCTCTCTCTCAGAATGGCAGTGTTATAGCCATTGGCTATGGCTGGGATTTGGAAGGGGAAGGTCATGCACATTAACACAGTGCCATCAGAATTCAATAGCCTCATATTTTATCGTTGTGCCTATTTTATTTTTTAATAATTTCTTCACCTCTTTTTTTCCCCCCTCTGATAAATAGCTGCTGAAACCTCAGTTAACAAGGAATTGGCTTGTACAGACATGGCTGTTAACGCCTGCACACATTCACACATTCCCTTTTCTAAGACTGACCTGTCAGCTACCACCACTTTCTGGCAGTGCACCTTTCAGAAATTGTAGGCTGGGAGAAAAAAAGATGCAAGGAATTGCATGGAGAAATAAAAAAAAGTCAAATTATCTTCATCTTTTCTCTGACTAAAGAATGGATGTTATGGCACAGCTGCCAGCCTGCAAAGTGTCAGAGGTGGATGGTAGATGAGGCCTGGCTGCTGGTGATATGTGATGCTAAAGATGCCAGATCTCTGTCACTTTCAGTTCACAGGGCTGATGTTGCTGTTCTTACTTGAACCTCCCTTTTCAATGGATTTATTCCTTTAGAGAAGTGGGCACTGAATGTAGCAAAACCATGCTAGCCCCCCTGCCCCCATGTGAGGAGATCATTCAGGTGATCACTATTCAGAGCTTGCCTGCTTTATCATAAGTGCAGTTATTGAATTACCTGGGTTCCTGCTTTTACCTGTTCTTTGGGAACAGATTTTTAAGACATTGAAACTCAGCAACTGTAACCCTGACAAGAGGGGATGATTCTTTGTAGCCCTCCCTGTTCCCTTGCCTGCTCATACCCATTTAGCAAAGGTGTAAAAATGCTGTGCATTGTCTGTGGCTAGGTGGAGAAGGCCAGAGGGATCAAATTGCCTTCTGGTTATGTGGTACCACTCCTTTGCAGTCCTTGACATCATGTAAAGCAAGAGAGAGCTTTTGGCAGAACAGCCTTGTTGATTGCAAGACACTGTCAGGCTGAGATAGAGTTAAAGCACTTGCTCTAAAGGTTTGAGACTCTGGGTAACACCTCAATAAAGTGTAATGGCCTGATAGTTAATTGATAAATCACAATGAAAATTTCTTTGGAAATACATTTTGCATCCACATGAATACCACAGTAGCTTGATATGGTAAATGATGTAAAAGTGAGCACCAATGAATTAATAATGCTTGGCCACTTACTTTAAACTGCTGCTGAGATCATAATGCGGTAATGTTACTTCAGTACTTCAGACTCTTACTTTCCCCTCCTGTAGACATCTGTGGAAAGAGGCCAAGCTTCCTTTGAAAAGCAAAAAAGTGATCTGTAGGAAAAGGAATAGCAAAGAGAAACTCTAGAATTAAACTCATATGCTGGACTGCTCAAGAAGCCCAGTCACAAGGACTGGTACAATTGGCCATGCTAAGAAGAAAATTCAGGCCACAAGCTGATCCCTGGTGATTCTTAAGTGTGTTGTGCACATTAGAAAAAGGGTATCTTCTAAATTGCCTGGTATTTTAAATGTCTTCCATTTAACATGTAGGATGTACTTCTTAATTGTGGGATGACCTCTTCCTCTGCTTTGGAAGAGGATGAGGACCTTGATGTGAGCACAGGTTGTGCTTGTGCTGGCTGCAAGGACCATTTGTCTTGCCCACATATCATAAAGGAATGCAGAAGAGAAGCAGGCCCTGTGAATCCAGGCCCTGATCTCTGTTCCCTCCAGCCTGGAAGCATCATGTTAAGAGAATATCAGGCTTCTTTACCATAGAAAGGTGCCACGGGCCACCCACCTACTGCTCTCAGCTGCATTAGGCACAGAGCAGGGGCAGTGTGACACCTCTGCATCAGTACAGCTGTGGGACAATGCTGTTCCTCTATTTATGTGATGTAAAGGGGAAGCAAATGGATATCTCTGTCAGGAGTGGGGTTGGACCACCACGGCCCAGGCCTGACCACAGGCGTGTCTCCACACTGGTGCCTTTACATGTGGGAAGTGCAGCACTCTGCTGGTCTCATGCCCACTCTCACTAGCGCTTTTCTACTTTTTTTAGCTACATTTCTAAGTGGAATTTAAGAAATACATATGCATATAAGAATAAATATATATATATATATTTGTAAACATTTTTTTAAAAGATCATGCACACACCAAACCAAGCAGCTTCATGATGGCCTCAAAACAGTTTTTTTTCCAAAGGGCAGGTGCTGGGGGCAATGGGAGGCTGCCTCTCTACAAGTGTGGCAAACTCTTCCATCTCCTTTCCTTCCCCTCCTGCACATACCTCTGATCAGTGACTAACACGAGAGGGACAGGCTATTCTTAGGCTGTCCCCAGAATTCTTCAGGCTGTGAATGACATTGATGCCGTGAATGGTGACTGATAAAGTTTTGATGTTACGTATTTGGTTTTCTGAATAGCGTGTCTTACCATTTTTTTGATAAGCAGCATGTTCTCTTTTGTTTTCTCCTCTCCAAAAGTGATCAGGAGAGAGAAATGAGATGCAGAAAGGCTGAACTGGTGGCATGTCTGCATCTCGCCCAGTTATATGTGAATTTTGTTCAGGAATAACCCTTAGCAATGTCAGTGCTCATCACTGACAATGTACATGTGCAGCTCTGAGACAGGCAAGAAAATACAAAAAAAAAATAAAAGCGCTTGAGTCCCCCTTTAACACCTCTTCCTGTGCTGCAGTCATTGTCCTGATCTTCACTTAGCTCCAGGTCCCATACCCTGCTCAAGCCTGCTGCCATTCCCACAGGGAACTGAGGAACACACTTTGTCTGGCAGGATGGTCCAAGTCAAGACCACAACCACTGACAAATGCCATGTGCCATTTGTGGATCTACCTCACCTGCACATCTAACTGGGTTCTTTGTTACTTGGTGTCCTTTTGTGGGAAATGAAATTTGTAAGTGCTTAATAATGCTTAATGTTGAGTGATTCTGCGTAACCAGGTCTTCTTTAACCCTACACCCCAACCCCATCCTGTCCAGAGGAATGCTGTGATTGTGACAGCCTGTACTCTTGGCCAGGGCCATGCCTTCTTCCCCCAGCCAGGCAATTGTTGAGCTCCCAAGAGCAGTGCTGAGGCTCCCACTGGCTCCACAGGGGTGCAGCTTAACATACCAAAGACCTACAAATGGGGAGCAACATTACATCATTAAACAATCCCTGCTGAGCATGTCTGCCTGTGGCTTACTGTTAGAGGTCAGGACACCTCTAACACCCCTGGTGCTCCCAGTGCTGCTCTGGGGTTGCCTTGCTGCAGCACATTTTGCAGGGTGGGCTCCTGCCCACAGAGCCTGCTTACCAGAACTCTCCTTGGGAGGAAAGGGCTCAGCACAGGAGCAAAACCATGCTGGCCTTGCTCACTCCCCAGTGACTCTGTGGTGGTTGTGAGAAGTGCATTGTGCACGTGGACAGTTCATTGTAGGTGTGAGCAGTTGCTAAAGGGATGGGCCTTGAGCCAGCATCCTGACAGGTGCAAAACAAGCCACAAAGGTCTCCATTCTCTGGGAGAAACATATTCCCATCTGCTCATTGGAACAGCCAGTCCCCATTGGCCATGGGGCAGGGGCTTCAGCTGTGCCTTGGTGCAGCTTTCTTCTCCCTTAGGGCATGGTGGGGTTGAATGTAGGATGAGGATGCTGTAAATACAGAGAGTTGTAAGCAGGACCAGAAGAAGCCTCTGTTTGCCTTTGGGTGAGCTTTTCCCATATAAAATGTGCCTGTCTCTTCTTTCAGCTAGTCAATAGCAGGGGTAGAAAGGATGGGCCTAAGGAGAAACGTGGCAGCTGTTGGCCAAGCCCCAAAGCACTGTTGGGACAGGTGCTTTCAGTCAAGGACACAGTGAGAGTTTGAAGCTTTTCTAAACCAAGCACTCCCTGCTTTCTACCTGTTGAAGTCTACTCTTGTGACAGACTTGTTGCTGCAGCTTTCTGCCACTGCATGTACAGTGTCTGCCCATCACCATCTCACATCCCACACCAGGGGATGTTGCTGTTTATTTGGTAATACCAGTTTTACACCAAAACTTCTCTTTTGGAGCCAGGAAGGCTTTTGCAACCAGTGCCAGATTTGGCCTTGCATAGAAGAGAGGGGAGAAAAAAAAAAGCCAAGGCCCAAGAACAGGAGTTTTTCCTCCACAGCAGCCAAGGCCAGCAGGTGGGAGAGGGCCAGCCCTTCCCTACGGGCTGGGAGCTGCCAGGGGCAGCAGGGTTGAAGCATGTCTCGAGCAGATGCTGGCACAGCTCTGCACTCAGGACAGACCACCCGCTGCAGCCTTAACTTCATTTGTGGTCACCCAGATGCTTAAGCGAGCCCTCCCCAACATTTATTTGACCCAGTGTTACCTGGCTAAAGTTTTCATACATAAATCAGCAGTTTGGAGTCCACAACTCCCTGGTGTTGCCTGTGATAACTGTGAAGCGCTTCTGTCATTGGCCAAAAAGCTGATGGGCTTTCAGTGTTTTGCTGCCCTGCTCAGCCCTGCTGAGATGGTGATGAGAGCGCTGCCCCCCTTCCCTCTGCTGTGGCATCCCCATATGCGTGGCCCAATCATCCCAACTGTTCCCAAGATTTTGTTATGCAATAAAGAGCTTCACCCTGATGGGCTGCAGAGCATTTTATGGCCATGGGTGGGAGGGTAGAGGCGCCTTTGGGCATCGTTTCAAAGAAAAGACAAATGCATTGCCAGGGCAGGGCTGGGGAAGGATGGGTCAGGGAGTTAAATTGGGCAAATTATATCCCTAGGAAAGCTCTCTGCCCTTCAGTCATAAAAGACAAAACACAACATTTGCAATTGGCACTGTTATTTTATTAGTACGAGTATACTGAAACAATAAACTTGTACTGGTATACAGACAATTTCTTTAAAACAATTTTGTTCAAATTTTGAATCAAACATTGTTTTATTATAATAATGAAATAATTTCTACCTAGAAAACCTGCAAGCACCATCAAAGAAAGGGACCATAAAATTCAATAAACAGACGCGAGTGTATCCTACAAATAGACACACCACCATTAGAAAATAGAATATGAATTCTTCCATTTTTTAATATTTGTTTTAAAAAAGCTAGTGCAAGTACAATATTTTACACTGGAATTACAGAGAGTATGCACGCATATGGAAAAAAGTTCTCCTGTCACAATAAAAGCTCTTAACTATGTCTGTATGCACTTAAAATCTTCTCCTCTTTTCAATAAGGTGCAAAACGTTATTCCCTCCCTATTTTCTCCTTTGTACTGGCCATGTCAGCTCAATTTCTCCCCAACACAAAGCTGTGATATCCCTTTTACTGGGCCTACACTAGGAACGACACTGGAAGTGTGATTTGCAACAACCCTCATTAGTAATACTAGACAATTAAAAAAAAATTACTTTAAAAACTACTGATGTTGAATGGCTGGACCTGACCCGGGCTTGGCCAAGCGCCGCTGCCAGCTGCTGCCGGGAGTGGTGACATAGCTAGTACAAAATGGATTTCAGTAGCTCACCCAAACTGAAAATGGTTGGGAAATTCCCCCACCCCCACTTTTGTAACACTGCGAAAAGAACAGTGTTCAACAAGTTAATACATTATTAAAAAAAAAAAAAAAAGAGCAAATACATACATTAGTGAGTTTCAACATTAGCTGACTGTCGTGAAGAGTTGCATCTATGCCTTACCAGATTAGTAACCACGAAGCGCCTGCCTATCCGAGCCACCTGCAGCCACCCCTGGCCCATTTTTGCCCTCAGCTGCCCAGATCCAAACCCGGTGGACTGGAACAAGATCTGCAGAGCTTGTTCAACGGGAGAGTACCTGGGTCCTGGACTTTTAAAGCAAATGCCAGGGTGGAATCCCCTTGCCAGCAGTGTGAAGGGGCAGACCCGCACTGCCGGCAGAGCCAGTGGCCCCACCCTGGCTCCACCCTGGCTGAGGATCTGGGCTCTGAAGCTTCTGCCCTCACCAATCCTGTGGTACAGCAAGGACAGCTTCAACAAGTGACTCCACTCGCTGCAAACAACACTTCCAATGCACACCTACTGCGTGGTCAAGGGAAAGGGCTCAGGAGCTTTAACTGCTCAAAATAGAAACTAACAAAAAAGAAATAACCTTGGATGAAGCCTCCATAAAATCCTCAGTGGAAGACTTGCGTCCTTTCAGCTAACAACAAGAAAAAACCTACGGAAACCTTAGAGACGGTTATTGTATAAATACTACCTGTTGGCTGAATGCACTTCACCGTAACACAACTGGGGCTGGTTTCTGAGCGCCCGGGGGTCACTTGCACAGGGCAAGCATTCCCACCCCCTGTGCCTGTGGGAGCCGAAGCTTGGGTCACCTCCGGGGAGGGGGATGGGAGCAGCCTGAAACTTTGCCCTCTCCACCCTGCCTCCAGCTGCCAGCTGCCCAGCTCAATCTTTGGACAGGAAAAGGATCCTCTCTTCAAAAACTGCTTCAGGATCCTCTCCTTTTGGCTTTTGAAAAACATCAGTCTTGCCATTGCTCAAGACCATCACTGGAACCGTGTGACTGTTCCTGGCGCTCTGGCAGCAGCGATGGGAGAGCTGGGACAGGGGCTGGAAGGCTGAGCCGCCTTGGATACCATTCTGCTGCTAGTGCTGGGCAAGGATACCTTGTTACAAGCACTTCTAGCTCAGGGTTGTACTCTTTGGATTTCATCTGGACAAGGAAGTGCTGAAAAAATGTGGAACAGCATCCCCAGAGAGAGAAAAAAATGGGACCAAAAGGCCTCAGGTGGAAACTACGCAGGCTGTGCTCAGCCTGAGGGCTGCCAGCAGCAGCAGGGTCCCCACAGTCGGGGCAGCCAAGCCTTGCCTGCCAGGGCACAGCCAAAGCCTCCCTCAAAACCAGCCTTGACCTCTGGGCTGCCAGGGGCTCCCTCAGCGCAGGCGGAAGAGACTTAAAGCCAAAATACAACTGGAGAGTGAAACTCTCATTTTGCACAGTAGCCACCCTTCGAAGTGCCCGGTAGCTGCACTCAGGAATTGCTGCTCCAAGGTATATTTTCAGCACAGGAATAAAAAGTGTGAATCCATTCCCTAGAAATGGAACCCATGTAATATGAACAGAAAATTAAGCACAGTTGTTCTTTAAGAGTCTTTTAAGTAATAATTCTTCCTGGCCAGAGCCAATACAAATCAGATCATCTAGACATGACATTTTCTATATACAAAAAACATGTAACTTTCAACCTTTCTCTGCTTTTGTATTTAAAAACTTTTTTTTTTTTTTTACAAACAAGTTATGAAACTCACTGTTCAAACAGAGCCATCTCTTTTTCAAACACTGAATGAATCATTCCAACATTCATTTTTCTTTTGTGCAATTTTTTAAAACATTACCTGTACTCCTCAATGTGAGTGCTTCAAAAAAAGTTTCTATTTTTAATAAGCTTCTCAAATTAGGTTTACATCAAAAAATATTCCCACAAGGTATAGTGCTACAAGAAAAGATCCTATCAGTAAAGGTAACACATCTGAAGCGAGGTCGTCTATGTAAAAGAAATTGAACTCTGGAGTAGAGGTGTGCAACGCGTTTGGAATTTCCCTATGGGCACAAAGCAAGGCTGTCCTCAGGACAGGGAATCAAGTGGACATGTAGGCATACACGTAAAAAAATGCACACGTAACTTCTTGGTGTGCAAACAGACACTTCTGCCTAGGGGTGTGTGTGCACATATGCATATCTGCATCAACAAATTCTCATTTTGCTATGTATTACAAGATTTGGGAGAGTGGGAGGGTTGGAAAAACCAGAGAAAAGGAAATTACTGCCTCCACTCTGGTGGTACGTTCCCTTGCTTTTCACATCAGCACTGGCCAGAGCCTACAGTGGACTCTGCTGCTACCTGTGATGATGGGGAGGGAAGAAATGGAAACTGTACGAGTGCATATCCCATTCTGCCATTTGTCAAGTTTCTGGGACAGCAGAAGTGCTTCAATGGGCCAAATCCCCTCCACCTGCCCAAGGCTTCTGCCCTGGTCAACCCCGACATTTTTCCAGCTGCCCAATTAGGGTCAAGATCTGTCCCTAATTGAACCACACTTCAATTTCACAAAGATTTATACATGAGCTTTACAGCAAGCCCTGAGCAGCCTTTGCTGGCCAGCCCAGACCTCCCATGGGCACACGTATAAATGTTTGCAGAACTGGGTCCCATGACATGCAGAACATTGCACCAAGAGCCACCCTGAAACAACACTATTAGTGTTTACAAAGATTGAGAATTCAGTCTCCTCGACACAGGCTTTTTTTTTTTTTTTCTTTAGGCAGTTGCAAGAATTAACAGAAATCCACCATTTCCTTTGTACTACTGGCAACACACTTTAAAGTAATATAAATCTCTGCAGAGAGTGTATTTTCATGAAACCAACAGCTACAGTTCATGCTGAGCCTGCTGCTTTTGTATTGCAATCTAAATGAGATCTACAAAGTTTAAAACCATGAGATGCAGGAAATCCAAACTTGTCTGTAACATTGTACATCCCTACTCCGGAGCAGTAAAAGTGCTGCTTCTGGTCACATCAGTGTACCACACATACACCAGCCCCATCCCTGAGTAAAAGGTGTGAAAGGTTTCTAAATGTTCCTTGATTTAAGGGAAACAAGAGTAGTGATGTCACTTCCCCATGCTGAGAAAATGACAGGAACGACAGGAACAAAGCGACAGTGGGACAAAGGAATTAAAGGAATGAAAAAGGGAACGTGTGTCCCTCCCCTCCTCCCGAGGTCTGCATCTTTGAGGGAAAGCAAGCCTAAGGGCAAGGTACAAAATGGTAAAATAGGTCAACAGTGACTCCGATTCGGGTCTCGACCAAACGACTCGAGGTAAGTGACATCAAACTCAAATTCCCCACAACGTGGCCCAGACAAACTGAAACAATGCCTAAGTTAGATGCTATAAGGAACAGTCACTTTATATAGATAGATAGATAGATAGATAGATAGATAGATAGATAGATAGATAGATCAACAGACAGACAAATAGGTTTTTTTTTTTTAGAAATCCCTATAAAGAGGTTCTTGTTTTATTTTTCTTTGCCCTGACTAATTTCTTGGTGATTGTATTCATTTTGTTGTAAACTAAAGAGGCCTGCTACAAAAGGAAAGAAACAAAGAGACAAAAAGAAAACTGCTGTTAGTTACTATTGCAAAGCGGCCGCCATGCAGAGCAGAGGCAGAGCCTCCTCCTTCGGCTTCACCTCAGCATCCCCGTGGTGTTTTGCACCTGCCCTGGGGATCAATGGCACTCCTGGGCCTGGGGCTGCACTGCAAGGGATGCTCAATGCCAGAGGGAAAGGCAAAGCCCTGCCTTGCAAAGGACTTGGCCCCAGTGGGAGCCAGCCCCTGTGTGCGTGTGTCCAGGTGGAAAGTGGCACTCAACCATATGGTTGAGTGTCACTCTCTGCCTGGATGCCATGTAGACATGAATACATCTCTTTTTTTGCCTTTCTTTTTTTCTTCCTGGATCTCTTTAAAGAACAAATACAAAAAGGGTTCGTGTTTCCCAGGACAAGGGATTCTTCTACCCTTAATATGGTGTGAGTTTTTGGAGGGGGGAGGACAGGGAGGGAGTTATTGATTGGGGTGTGGGGGGGGGGGGCAGAGAGAAAGGCAGAAAGAAAGAATTCAAGAGACATAATCAGGGGAAATCAGAAGTGGATATGAGATCTAGCTAACACCGCACAGGTGAGTCTAAGTTGGCACGTAAAGTATTGCACATCCTACAAAAGCTAAAGCACGGAAGGGGACAATTGTTTGGAAAGAACCAGTTATTTCAGAATTCCTCAGTCTGAAATACAAGCACAGAACTAATACATTCCTATTGCTCCAAATGTATTTTATTATTTTTTTTTTTTTTTTAGTGTTAGTTGAATAGATCCAGTCAGTTTAATAGCCCCTGCTTCCTTATTGACCACAAATGTGTATGCGTATGGTTTTACTTGAGATTTCCTTTTTTCTAAGTACACGTGAAGTACAGAAATAGTGGTAAGACTGTGAACTAAAATCTGTAATTCTTTCTATTCCTTTACCATCAAAGCTTAAAAAAAAAAAAACCAAAAACAGGAAACAAAATGAAACAATAAATTGCAAGTGCCCTGAGCAGAGTATATGGAAGATTAAGCAACTTCTCTGAGCAGAAATATTAACAAATAAGCACTAACTAAGCTGTGTGATTGTGAGAAGAAACCCACTCAGCTATTTGGTAGCCTGCCGAGAGGTTAATAAAATTCAAGGAAATTCAAAAAAAGTTTCAAGCTATTTTAAACATATTTCAACTTTTTGGTGCACCCCAGAATATGGTATAAAAACAATTAGGTCTGGTGTGAGCTAAATTTCAAGTAACAAGTAACAAGAGTCAAAGATGGGGTTTGGGGTTAACATTTCTTCTCTCAAAGAAAAGCACTGTATTTCAGGGGAGAGGGAAAACAAGACTTTAAATAAATTTGTTCACTTTAGGTTACTGTGTTTCTAATGACAGACTTTGATTTCCTGTTCTCCCTATGAGTACAGCTTCTTCAAAACTACCTGAAGGATGTGAACTCGCCAACCAAAAATGACGACACGAACGCATGCTCACAGAGGGCCCGAGTGCAATCCCACTGAAATCCCACCGGCACCTCCCCGAGGCTTGTGCAGGAGGTTGGGTGCACAGCACCTCTGAGGATCCGGCCCTACCTGGGGAAAGAAAAGACTGAACGCATGAATCCCCCACTTCTACTTGGTTTGTACCAAACTCCTGAAATGTCGCCTTTCCAATGGAAAACAATGCAATTAAAATAACAAATAATAATAATAATAAAAATAAAATAACAATAGGTTTGTTTTCAAAACAAACAAACACCTTGCTTACTTATAGAAATGTTTTTTTTTCTGGAAAACTCTCTCAGCAAGTCTGAAGAAAAATTCTCAGAGGTGTCCTGGTAGGACCTGGTTCTGTGTGGCCGATAAGGTAGAAAGACCGAAAATGAACTCTGAAAGGAACGTAACCCTATGAAATGGCCTAGAGCGTAGGCAGGTTAGTGAGTAATTGCTACATTTGTTTATGCTCTTTCAGACCCCCCCACCCCACAACATTATTAGGTAAAAACTGCAGGAATACCACACAAATGATAAACTCAAGATGTGCAAATTGCAAGATTCTTTAAAGTCCATCTTTTTCAAAAACACTGGACAATGATTTTTCCTCTTTCCTTTCTCCTTTCTCTTATTTTTTTTTATTATGTCAGCTCGCATATGCCTTTAACTCTTTCTCAAGCATTAAAGTTTAAAAAGTGCCTCCTATTAAGTAGTCCTTTGTGGACAATGACTGTCACATACTAGTTCAATAATTCACATTCATCCCTTTGAAACCACATTAAAACTTTCAGCATCTTGCCTGTGAGAAAACTTTACATAGTTGCATGTAGTTACAGTGTTGAAGAGATTTGTTTGTTTGTTGTTGTTGCTTTCCAAGCAGGTTAAAGTGATATACAGTACGTACTGAGTGTTAGACCAGGATGCTCAGCAATAAAGTGTGAACAGCATTTTAAGTGCTTAAAGACATTCTAGGTTCATCTTCAACAGCGGATTCCTGTGTCACACACCGCAATTTGAAAAAAGTGGCACCAGTTGTCCATAACCATGAACTAAAACCAGTACTAGAGTTAAAGACAAAGATTTGCAACCTAACTGCAAACAATGGATGCCTGTGATCTCAAAGGGGCAGTCTGCGTCTACCTTGTGGAAGCAAATGTCAATGGCATAACCCGGTTGATTTGTCTAACACTGCACAGAAACAGGAGTGAGCCTGAGCCAGGCACATCTGCAGAACCAGAGGCTTCCTTGCACACCCACACACACCCACGCCACATGCACACACCCTCCCCCCCGCCCTCAAGGGAAACCCTGCAGGGCGACCAGCGCGAGGGTCCGTACAGCCTCGCCGTCGCTGACTCCGGGCAATGGAACTGCACTAGCAAGCAGAAAGGAAATGTGGTGTGGCAGTTTGCTTTAGGAATAAAAATCAGTGCAGTCAGACCCCATGGGGGAAAAAAATATATATACATATACACACACACAAATTATATATATATATATATATATATATATATATATACATACATACATACATATATATATATATATATAGCAGAGCCTTGAGTAAGAGTTGGCTTGTTGTTGAAAACATCAGAGACTGTCTGATCCTTTTCAGTAACACACCCAAGGAATGGGTCCTCAGCATCCACCTGGGGTGAGGAAACCTCATTTACCAACCCGCCAGAGCATGGCCGTCCCGTCCTGGGGCCTGGCACGCATCCACACACACACACACACACACCCCACGTTTGACACACACCTCTGCTACAGTTCCCTTCTCCTCACCTCCCCCCAAGAAAACTAGAACAGGAACCAGAACAACAAAACAAACACCAAAAAAAAAAAAAAAAACAGTGACAAAAAGGAAACAAAATCACAGCTGGACCCTGTCCTACACGAGGTGTTAGAAAACAGGAGCCATGACAACACATTCATTTCCACTAAGGGTGTGTGAAGCAGATACTGCCCCTTCTGTAACTCTCGATAAACCTAGTCACTGACAAACACTTGTGGAAAAACATATGCACCAGTCTCCTGCATAATACCAGCTGCAACTATAACAACAAGGTTATAACATAAACCTAAAATAAGATGATAACATGTAAATACTGGGTTATTTAGTCTACAGTACAGTAATCTGGATAAAAATGACAAGGGATAGCCTAATTTCCTTTCCCCAAACAGCTTTTACTTTCCTACGTTGGATCGACCTTCAATGCAAATCTTAACCTCCTGAGGAATAAAAGAAGGCTTGGGAAGAGTCAAAGGTGGCTCCTCTTCTGATTTCTCTAGTTTTCGTGTTTCGGGGGCTGACCACCTCCTCTTCCTTGTTGCTGGGGGCTTGCTGGGTTCTGTTTTGGTGAGCAAAGGTGCTGCAGGCAATCCTATTTTGTCCGGAAACTTCAGTTCACCGTTCTCAGCTAACATCTGTGCGCTTCCCTGATTAATCCCATTTTCCTGCTCCGCATACCTGTGTCTACTTCCAGCTAGACTGTCATTCTTTGAATGCTTCAGCAAGATACTAGCTGAGTCCATGGGCTGGCCCTTTTTAATAGAGCCGTTCTTCAGGTTCTTGAGTGTGAGTGATATGCAGACGTCCCCCACTGAGAGTTTGGAGCATGGCAAATCAAAGAGCTGGTTGGTTCTTTCAGGGCAGCAGGATGACCAGCCTTGTCCAAATACAAAAAAAGGATATTCTACCAAGACTTCCACGCTGACCTGCAGAAAGAGACAGGACAACATAGGGAGACAGAGGGAGAGAGAGGGGAGAGCATGAGATCACTCCATGAGCCCTCACACATGTGCAGTGCTTGCCACAGGGGAGAGGGATAGAGCTGGAACTGCAAAGGCGATGTTTAGTTTCTGAAAAATCAGAATATTGGTCACCAGACTTCACACCAGCTCTTAATACTTTCTCTGAGCTCAGTATTTCATAGCACAAACTTCAGCAGAAATCAAGCTTTACCTTTATCCAGCCATTCAGACAGGTGTAAGAGTTAAAACAACTTCAGTGTCTGGCCAACTGTTTCCTACCATCCCCTTGTGGTACCTAGAACCTGTAATTCAAATCTAAAGACCCTTTCCAACCAGACGGTGGCTCAAGAAAAGCCCTCGGTTCTGACATATGATTTCCTAAATGGTCACAGGAATGTCATCCTGACCTCTGTCCGAACAAGCACTCACTAAGCAGCGTGAAAGGATGAAGGTACTCTGACTGCCAGGGGAAGGCCATGAGCACATACAGAGTTGTAGCCATTAAGAGCAGCAAGTGAGAGCCTGCCTTTCCCCAGCAATCTGTTACCAGTCTAGTTTCTTCCCTTCTCACACGTGGTCTTTCACTCTGCTACAGAGTTTACCTCCTGGACTTCCTCAGGGAGGTGGTTGTCCTTCCTACTCCTCCTGCGGTTCCTGCACTGTCTCTTCTTCTGCACCATGTTCCCTTTCCCTCTGCTTCACTCCACTTTAAAGACACATCTGGTTAGGAATCCTACCTAACTATCTTTGGGGAGCTGCCATGGCCAGAACAGACCAGCAGCGGGCTCCCCCTGCTCCTTGACCTTGCAAATGCTGGGCCTTGAGGTCCCAACATGATAAAAAACACCTGATAAAAACGGCTACTTATCTTTGCACGTGGTAGCAGTCCAGCACTCTCTGCAGGCTCAAACACTTGATGTGGACTCATGTGATTCTCAGCTCATGGGGCTGCCCCCCTCCCTCAGCACACTAACAAAGAGAGGAGGAAATTCTGACTAATACATCTTTAAAACTTGGCACGCGTTTTTAACTGCTGCCTGTCACACCAGTGAGGTCTGCAACCGTAAGAGGCTGGCTTGTGCTGAAGACAGAAACCCACTGCTCTGCTCCCATGGTCTTCATGTCCTCTGGAGCTCTTACCAGGCATGGGGGCAGGATCCCACTCTCATGGTGTAACCCCTATTTGGTAGGGGCAAAAGGGTAGGAGATCAGCTGAATACACATGCTCACCTCATTTCTGAGCCATGCAGCAGGCATAGACTATAAGAGCTGCCTGCAGAGTTTTCCCTCTCCAGGACCACTTAAGAACATCACAGCAGGCTTGTGAAACCACCTCTCACCTCTGGAAATGAGTAACACAGTCACACCCAGCATGGCTTTGCACCATTAAAAATGCATTTTGACACAGAAGCAGCTTGAGATGCACACTGCACTCCAGTGTTCCAACACTGTTCACAATGTTACGTGTAAACCTTGGGATGAAGTTGCATGGTCTCACAGAAGAGGCTGGACTCTATGGAAGCACTGCCCCCAGCAGCCCTGCCCCTTCTCTGCTAGCACTGCCACCCTCACAGCAAGCAGGGCTCCTGGTAGTGCCTCTCACACCCCCCCAGCTTTACAGCCCTTCTGGGCAAGAAGACTTGCTCAGGAATGTCTGACAGGTCAGAGATAGATGCTACAGAACCAGGAAACCAGTGATTCCCACTGGATGTTGATGGTGCCTCTGACTACGTGTATGCCATGCACTAGCAGCCAAATCCTGTAGAAAAAAATTCAACCCTTCTGTTGAAAAAAACATAATTGAGTCTATAAATATATGCTATGCATTTCTGCAACTAGGCCAGCAGATAACACTGCATCCATTATCCTGCCACTCCACCTGCCCAACACAGTAAGCCACTGTACAAGGAATTTCAAAAGGATTAGTTTAGAGGTGTAAAATACTACATCAATTTTCGTCATCTTAAACCTTTTTCAACCAGAACTATTTGCCAACAGTCAAACTACAGACACTGCAACAGTGGAAAGGGACCTGACTCAAGCCCTGGTTTAAGCTCAAACTAGGGAGAAAGTGGGGTGAGGTAACCATGAAAGCCCCATCCCTTTATGTCACTGGATAGAAACACTCCAGCACCAGGGTTTGCAGAAATATTTGGCCAGAGCTTGAGATCCTATTCCATACATACGCATCTCAGTTTAACTGGAGTCTAATCAGAAGTGCTGAGTATCTAGCATCACCCATGGATTTACATGGAAACTGCTTTCTGCACGAGAACTGTAGGCTGTCTCCAGGCATGGATCATCTGGTGGACACAGCTTTCTCCTTTATATTGCTTTTTCTCACCTCTTTCTTTCTTCCTGCTTGCCTGTTGCGTTCTTTTCCCCTTTCCTTTTCTACTCTTCCATCCTTGTCAAAAGATATTTGTATCTGTGGGAATCATACTTGGTTGTGTGCATCATCCTCACTAACACAAACACAAGTTCCTCTTGATGTCAACACACTTCCACCACACATTATGCTTTTTTTTTTTTTTTTAAATGTAGTATCCCAGACACTTGCCTGAAGGGTTGATCACTGAAACAGTTGCCAGAATTGGTGGTGGTGATCATGAACAACACCAAAGATGATGGAATGCTAGAATCCTCACAATCTGGTCACACTGTGCATGTACCACTTTTGATTTGAAATGAGTTCCCTCATGGATTATCAAGCCCTGTTTTATCTGTCTGCTTCTGGATTCAGCTAAGGAAGGATTTGAGGCAACCATCCTCTAAAAACAAGTTAAAGACCTTTGAAGTGTGAAAGTTCAGTAAAAACACCCCCACAAAATTTTTTCTGATCACTGCATTAAAAACACAAACCCCCTTATTTTAAAAGCTTCCGCCCGACACACTAGTATTTTGCCACAATTATTATAGGAGAGAAGGAAATTTGGAACTTTCCTACCTACTAGTAAGAGCATAAAGTAAGAAAGAAACATGTTGGTTCCTCTCAAAGCATACTGAGGCTCTATTGCAAGCTACATTTATATTTCTATTTGTTAACACTGACTAGTGAAAGCAGCCAAAATTCTTCAGTGCAGCCACTGAAAACTGAAACTTTCTATAACCCTTTGTAATTTTCATTTCTCAGCCACACTCAATAGGCAAGACAGGCTTTACACAGCTTAAGAAATCCCAGCTGGAGCTGGAATACAGATACTAGGGGCTGGAAGATCTAATGCCCAGGAAACTTTGGTCTTGGGCCTCACTGCCGCAACCAAAATAACAAGCACGAAAGCAAAAGCTTCCTAATGAAAGTGGTTAATGTGAACAGTATTATAATAAATGTAAACATACATTTTCCAATTAAGTGTTTTTCTCCATAATGTTATTAAAATGTGATGAAACTAGGAGTGGCAGGTTGGAAACAAAGAGAAGGAAGTAGTTCTGGAAACAATGTGCAATTAAGCAGCAGAGCTCTCCACTGAAGGCCTTGCTTTGGGTGCTGAAAGGTTCCTCGGGCCCAAAAAACAACTGGGTGGATTCACAGAAGAGAAGCTCTCCTTCTCACAGAGAGAAGCCTCTGCAGTGCCATGCACACAACCTCCCCTATTCAGAAACTTCAGGACTTGTAATGTTCCCCCTGCACTCCAATGCCTTCACAAGAGGGGATTTCCTGTAAGAGATTTCTGGGGCTGTAGGCAGCACCTTGTGCCACGGAACGACTCTCCAGAACATGCTCTGACTGGACACCCCCCCAGGGCTGCATCTATCCAATGCAGTCCACTGCTACTATAGTAAAGGCAGGCAGGGCTGGAACGTCGGGGGCTGCTGCACTCTGCAGTCACGCAATCCTGTAATTTCTCATGAGAAGCCGCCTCTCGTCCAGCAGAGCACAGGCTGCCGCCTTTATCACATGAGCTGTGTCATCTGCTGTACTCCCAGAACTCAGTAACATGAGGACAGACCACAGCCACCCATCATTGGAGACAAAAGGACTTACTGTCCTGTGACCAGGGGACACAGAGATCACATGAGGGGAAGGCTGGGAGAGATCTCCATCTGCAGCACTGAACTGAGTCAGCATCTCTTTCTGTGTCTGTTACGGTGTCAAAGATAATGAAAAGAGGAGCTCAAAGAAAAAGTAACCATTTGTGTGTGCATTGAAAGATGTAAGAGAAAACTGAACTAGGTGATGGTCTAAAATCATGTGCACTAAACTAAACTAGTTAGGGCTACTAACTGCATGCTCTGATGGAACTTTCCAATCTCTAGTGCTTATGATTCCAGTTTTGTATTATTGTTTGGGGTTTTTTTTAAGGAAAATTAAGAACTGTATGCTCATGTTTTCCATTTAATCTATACTTTAGAAATTATTAGAAACTGAAGTGTAGCATTTCAAAGAACTTGTTTTGTATAGCCTTTGTGCTTTGACCTTAACATCAAGAGAGGTGAATTGCTGGCTTCTGTGTTCTCCTGGCAGCAAAAGGATGGACAGGTAACAATGATGAAATTCCTATTACAAAAATAATATGAGGAATTCCAAAAACATGTAGATCCATGGGTCTATATGAATGCACCTTGAATGCAGAGCAGTACCAGCTGGACTTTGGGTTCTGGCTCAGTTGATACTTACTTGACTTGTTAATGCAGAGCCGGATGCTGTGAAATGGAAACCTAGCATCCTTCCAGGGGTAAAGACAGTTAAGTAAATTATTTCAGTTATTGAGGTCTTCAGGTGTGTTGTTTTTTCTCTAGGTTTCCATACCTGGAAGAGGGATGGATTTTCCAGGTGACTGGAGGACTGGAAAAGGAGGGAAGATGATCCCTTTCTGCCTAAGTGCTGTGCTGGGGAGGGCCAGCTGTGGGCTTGCAGTGACACAAGAGCAGCTGCCTAGTGCCTCCCTGTTTACATTATAGTGGTATATGCTCAGCTGAAAATAACCTCCTACCTCTGTCCCTCAACTGGTGAGAAAATTAGCTAGTGTTTGCACAGAGCTTGAAAATACAGATTCATCAATATTATAATGACTTCCCAGAGATCCCTGGGAGGAGTAAGTAAGTGAGCCAAAGCTAATGATAACAACACTATTTTTGTATGGCATTTACTCTTTACAAGTAACACTCCCTTGGTAATACCACTCGAAAAGCTCCCTCCTTGCAGAAGCATGTATGCAAGTGAAACTCAACTGTAATGCAATACTTTGTGGAGCTGCACTACACATGCAGTTCTATCCTCCTGCACTCCAGAGTCAAGACCTCTATTTCAGCACCACAGTGCCAGTGCTCAGAGGAGCTCGACCAAGTACTGTTCTTTCAGTGTTTTCTCAGGAGTAATGACTGCTGCACACCTGCAAATAAGGCTGAGTACTTCCAGAGCGCCACGGCAGGCTAAGGGTGAGGTCATAGAGACTTCAAGCATGCAGAAATGCTCTCTCTCTCTCTCTCACTCTCTCTCCCTCTCTCCCTCTCATTCTCCCCACTCCCCAAGGCAAAGGAAAACCAGCAGTTGTTCCCTGCTATGCAGGGACACAGCTGATCTGGGAAGAGACCCAAGTCCTGAAATCTGCAGGAAACCTAAATTAAACCCCCGTTTCTAATCATATCTCTACGTGACTTGCCCTCCATTCTGGAAGCATCCCCGGTGGGAAACACAGCTGGAGAGTATTTCAGCTGTGATGATGTCAGCCTGCTCCCGATAGGCTTCTCTGTAAGGTGACACTTTGCTGGGTGAGACCTGTGTGCCAGGCTCTGGATTTGCACAGCCTCGGACTCGCTCCCTGTCTGCCAGAGGATGGCACTCCACCCCCTGCAAAAGAGCAGCTCTTCCCAGGACTGCAGTCCATTTCCTGCCTTGATAGGGCTGTGACCGAGACATGACACAAACGCTACCTGCTCGTTTGTACCTCTTCTGTGCAGACACCGATGGCCTGGCTGCAGGCAGAGAAATGCAAGCAAGATGAAAATTGCAGAGTGGAGATTGCTAGTTTTGAAATCTCATTATTCAAGGCACCATGGCAAATTACAGTAACTGGTCCTGATCCAAGGACAGTTCCTCTAAACATGACACCTGAGATGTGCCAAAATACAGTAAAGCAGAGGGGAAAAATATCAAGTCTCTATACTGAAATCACTAGAGACTTGACTTCAATCAGCTGTGCAGATGCAGGCACATACATGAACAAACCCACGCAGGGAAATCTGCCTGTTTGCCTTGAGAAGGAGGACATGCCACACGCAGTGATTCACCATGTACATACACTTGGGGAAGGACAGGCCACAGGCTGCTGAGACTGTAAGAAGTTTTCTATGTGATCTCCTCGGTACCATCACTGTTTGCTTTTCTCCTCTAAATCTGAGGTGTGTTACTACCTGTGTCCAGTCTCCTTCTCTCTCATCCTGCTTCTCCAGTGCTGAGGCTGCAGCATCAGAGGTGCAGATGGCAGAGTTCACAGCACTCACACCAAAACAAAAAGATTTGCAACAAGATTATCTAAACTGAGTACCTCTAGAAAACCAAATGCTACACTGTACATCTGAACTTTTCAGCATCAACCAACAGAACCTAAACTGCTCAGAAAATGGACAGTATCAGAATAACACTTTCAAATCAATATGCACTCGTTCTCAACCTAAAAACACGTATGGAAAGTTACAGGTTTTCTTCCTGCCTTGCAAACAGAGAAACAAAGGTACAGCCTGCCCAGACACCTAGATGGTTTTTCCTTACAAATTGCACTTGACCACAGAGTTTACATGAGACATGCAATGTTATAACCACCTTCAAGCAAAGCCTCAGAAAATTCTGTAGTGCATTTCAGTAACTTATATGCATGAGAACCATTCCCAGGCAGCTCCAAGTTTTTAATCCATGGAAATTCAATGCCTTGTGCCCTTCCTGTCTCTTTAGTGTAGGTTTTGATCTGATTCTATCATGACCTTTCTGGTGTGAACGGTAAAAATCACCTATCAAAATGAAAAATGAAACCTTTCATACTCCTTACATTATCTGGTATTTTAATCAAAATCCACGAAAATCACATAAGTCTTCCTGTGAGTTCTCCAGCTATAAAAGAGACCCATTTGATATCCAAGAGTCTACATTTATCACCAGTGCGACCTGACAGCTTCCCCAGCACAGTGAGGGGGATGAGTTTGATTCATAGATGGATGAAGAACCAGGCCTGAGTGGATCCACAGCAAGTGAGCTGTGATGTGGCCTGGGGGGCCGGAGCATGCATCCCAGTCCAACCCCCCCAGCCCATCATGCGTTGCCATTACCTGTGCTCGATGCTCCCCCACCGCAAACTGTATGACGGCGATGCCTGGGCTATGGCTGTCTTCGATCCTCTCCACAGTGCTGGAGTCTATTTTCAGGTCGTTGCTAATTTCCGCACTCTGTATGAAGTCTTCTGTTTTCAAGTCCTCTACTTTCTTCAGCTCCCCGTTAGCCAGCTGGATGATCGACCCCTTCATGAAGTAAGGGGGCAGCGTGGGGGGCGCGGCGGCAGGGGAGGCAATGGACTGCACCACGGGCAGGTGGATCTGCGCCTGCACCATGGTGGCCTGGTAGGCAGGCTGGGTGGTGAGGGGCTCTGCACTGAAGTTCTCGCTCTTGGGGACAGCGGTGGTGACGAACGTGTGAGGCACTGCTGCAAACTGAGGAGACGACGTGACGATCGCAGGCGTGACTCCCGACGGCTCGACGTCCGCGCTGCCGACTGGTATCAGCAGGGACTGGGTGCCCGGGATCACCAGGTGCTGCGGCAGGCTGCTGGGGTAGCCGATGGCTTGCTGCTGGCCGCTCAGGTAGCCGATCACCGGTGGCTGGGTCCCGGTGTAGAAAGCTGTCGCCGGCAGCCCCACAGGGAGTTGCTCGGAGGCGCTGTGGGTGGTCTGAATGACGGTGTGAGGGGACAGCGTGGCCACTGCCTTCACCCCCTCATGGCCCAGAGCCTGCTGCGGAGACAAGGCGTAGGACCGGTGGGCTGGCTTTCCTAAGTGCAAACTTCCCTTGTCGTTGAGGGCTGAAGGAGAGGTCTCACGGTTGGTGGCCTGCTGCACCTCCATGTCTGCCGTGGGCGTGCTGCTGTTGGGGACCACCATGACAGAGGCTCGGACACCTGAGGAATCCCGCACACCATACTCGGCGGGGCTCGAGTGGACCACCACATGCCTGGTCTCATAATGATGGGGAGCTGGTTTATTGCCTGCTTTGACTAGACCCATGTCGGCAGAAGGCGAAATGCCATACCTCCGGCTCTTCTCTATCTCGCCATTCAGTACCTCCTTGGCCTGCATCGCCTGCAGCCGGCTGCTCTCGGGTTTCTTGGGGGGATCCCTGGTGACAAAGTGGCCCCCCGAGTCAGTGTACTGCACCACCACTTGGGAGGAAGGGCCAAGGGTGAGGGTGTGCGGGATCACTGTCTGATGTGGGTGCAGGGGGACTGGGATGGTTGGAGGAGAGACATTTCTGACAGTGCTCTGGGAAGAGCTGGAAATGTGGACGTACTGGTTCTGCTGTGTGGGTGGAGGGGACCCAGCAGCGATCAGTCCAGGCGTCCTGACCAGATGCGGCTCAACTTTGTGCCCCTGCTGGCTCAAGCCGCTCATGCTAGCCAGCAAAGTGGAATAAGCCTCCAGCTGGGAGCGCTGGGATGGAGTGGTTGCAACGGCTGTGGCCGCCGCCACGGCGCCGGTCGCAGAATTGGCTGTTGGGGAAATCAGCTGTGAGGGGATGAATCCGGTGTACGATCCACTGTACTGGGGCCCGACAAACTGGAAGGTGTGCTGCAGGTGAGTGTACTGCACGGGGGAAACAGGGGTCCCTGACTGGGAGAGGGCAGGCGAGTACACCGTGGGAAGAGTGGTAGAAGCTGGAACGGACCTGGGCGCACTCGGCGGGGAATAGTCCATCCCTGCAGACAGTGACTTGTGCAAACCCTGCTGCAAGCCTGCCTCCACCGAGGAGGTGCCCCCAGGCCGGTGCCGGCCCCCCAGGCAGCCCTGGCCACTGGGTGTGCTGGGGAGCCATGCCAGGTTATCTGCACGGTGGTTCTCATTTGGCAGGACCGGCTTCACCTCCGAAGGCAGGCTGGTGGCAGGGATTTCTCGCTTCTTAGGTGGCAGGCATTCATTGCTCCGCTCTTGGTTGGATTTCATCTTTCGCCGTCCCCCCTCCACTGTGCTTGCTTCACTGTCTGGCTGGCTCTGATTTCAGTCTGATAAACGGAAAGTCACATTTGATTTCTGCAGGGGATCCAGTGACTTCATGAGGAATCATCTCCCTGTGAGCACGATCCTCCGGCAGCTCCTCTGGATTCTGCAACGAAAGGGTGGGCAAGGGAGTCATATCGTCAGCAATGATAAATGAAAACAAATAAGCAGACACCCTAAATCAGCAAACAGGAAAAAGACCTCTAGGAAAAAAAAAATGGTAAGGCATTGCCACTCTCACGTCGAGGAGCAGTTGACAGCTAGTTATGCTGCAAACAGCAGAAAAATCCTGGGCTTGTCTGCTAATGCATCAGGAAAGCATTAAAAAAATTAGGCATATCAGAAACAACACGGCCATAACTTGGCACATTTAGCAGCAGTAATTTATTTCCCAAGACCCATTCTCCTTCCTCTACAAAAACTCTTCATATCTCTGCGGTGCTGCTTTGTTCTTCCAGCCTCTTCTTCCCCTGCAAGGACAACACCGCTTTCACCCTAACATGCCCTAAAAAACCATGGGAGCACAGCAGGGAGCCCTGAGGAACAGGCACACACAAAATATTCTTAGCAACAAGTCACTGTGAATGGTGCAAGGAGAAGGTGGTATGTCACTCCTAAACCCCTGAAACCCAGATACACTGTCAGGGTGACTTCACATGACACCGTGCAGGGCTGTGGAGACAGCAGCTGCCTCCTGTCCCCACTCCACACCACAGCTCATTACAGAGACACGTGTGCTTCATCTTCCAGTCTGGCAATGAACCTCAGCCACGCGAGCTATTTAAAGCAGCAGTCCAGAGCCAGGGATGGATCTGAGCCAGATTTTTGATGTCTGGTGGGGTTTTTTTGACCCAGTGCTTTGAACTCCCTCTGCTATTGATGCCTCACATTCAGGTGTCCAGGCAGGACTCTGCTGGGAGGAACTCCCTGCCACACGCAGGTAAGCCAGAGCCAGGTGCTGGCACCATATCCATCTCTGGCAGGATACAACCCCACTCTTCCATAGCCACTGCTGCACCAGAGAGGCTGTTGGTACCACACTCATGACCATGGCCACAGGTCCATGAGTTTGACTCAGGGGTCCTTAGCCTTGGGACACCTGCCCGGAACTGCTTGGAAAAGCGTGTTTGAGTTTCTTGATCCAAATCATGAGCCCCCACCACTGTAAAAGCTCCAGTTTCATACTGGGCTGATTTTGCTGTTGATGCTCTCTCCATCACATATTTTATCCAAAGGCAATAAAGTCTTCCTAACTCTTCTATTACCTGCTAAAGAAAGTATTGTAACTGTAATGTATTTTACATTTACTCTCTTCCTGAAACCTTGCCTTGCCTAATCAAACCTTCATGAAGAGTGAAACTTTTCCTCAGCCACTGTCCAGCCACCACCTGTCATCTGCATTTCTGGCTGTTTTCAAAGTTGCTCAAGAATGGGTGATGAGAAGCTGCATACCTCGCATGAGTGGCAGCTCAACAAGAAAAGCATGCATTACATTTAAGAAGAACAGAGAGAAAGAATTGAGAGTGGATGTGAAAGAAGATGGAAATAGGATATAGTGCACTTTAAAGGGAATGCTGAGCAGCAGTAATGATACTTATCTTATGGCAAGTAATATTCCTTTGGGGGATTTCTTTCCCTGCTGCCTCACTTCTAATGAACAATAAGCCTGATGTTTATATGTGTATGAAGTACTTTGAAGACACACTAGACTCAGATTAAACCTATCTTTAAAAGCACTCTTTACGTTTATGGTCCTCCAAGCTGCTGTAAGCCTGCAGGAAAAGTCCAAACCTTCTAATGGTTTGATACAATCAGTCTTAAGTTAATTACTCCATTCTTTAAATATTGATAAACAGTAATGAAACACCAACAGCTAGAGCTGGGGGAGGGAGGTAAAGCACTGTTTCACAGTAGATTCCCTGGCTTTGAGGAGATAGGGAGGATAAGAGAACTCATGGCAGCTTCAGACGTGCAAGGGCTGGTGACACCCAGGGCGCAGCAGCTCAGGCACTATCCTGACCTGCCCTGGTCTGTCAGCGCCATCACCTCGGCACCGCGACTGCGGCGACGAGGGCAGCCAGGAGACAGGGCCCCTGCTAGATCAGCACGGGCCTTCCCCTCCTCCTAACAGTTGCTCAGTGTGTCTTGGCAACAGCTAAAATTATTATATTACACATGACTTACAGATTTTTCTTTTTAGGTTCGACTAAAAATAAAACTGCCGAGCTCACATTTGCGCAGTCATCCTTGGTTAACTTTAGCTCTCTGTAGCCTTCTGCCCCAGGCAGTCAGCTTGGGTAGGTAAGTCAGCAGATCCTGACCCAGGCAGCTGCCCAGGGGGGGCATCCTCAGCATGGGGTGCTTATCCTGCTCCCCTTGCCACAGGGAGCTTGTGCTGGGCTTGGACCATTCTCCAATCTCTTCTGGAACATGAGCTGCAAATCCAGAATTTAAATAAACTCCCACTGGGAAAAGCTGGGAGAAGAGGCAGAGGGCTGGCTTCTCTGCCTGCAACAGAGCAGGGAGCTTGTACATGGGACTGAATAGGGACAGGCTCTTTTGCTGTGATGGGTAACCAGGCTCCCCAAAACCAGTGGTTCCAAAAGTTGACGGCATCTGGGTTCAGCTTCTCTGCATCGAAAGTAGTACTATGAAGCTCTATGAAATAGGGTGAAGTTTCATTATGCAGAAGCTGAAGCAAAGATTTTATTCTCCTAAATAGCATTGAACCACTGAGGTTTGGGTGGCCTCCAATGTCAAAGCTAACATCCTTCAAAAATACCAAGTACTAACTCTTTTGGGTTGTGTATTTTGTTTTTTTTGGTGTAAATCTTTCAGATGGCTGACTTCATCTTTACCAGTAGCAAAAGGACGGCCCAAAATCTCCTGGAGAACACAGGAGGAATGAATAAATTTAATGGAGACAAGGGATGAGACAGCCATAGAGCAGTGAATACTGCCCCACTTTTCAAAGCCCAGGCACTTCACAGTGAGACTTTGAGCTCTTAACAGACATAGGACTGGATTTGCAAAAAATGGAAATATGCAGCCTAAAACAGCCTACTTCTACATCAAGACCTAAAAGTAAAACAGTAACTTTTCAGCATTATTCAAATTTCAGCAACAGCGAAAATAAGACAGGACTGATTTTACTTGGGAAGAAAACCCAAACAAGAGTGCCTCAAAGGCAAGAGGTACAAGACCTGGTTAAACAGTCTTTTGCTGGCTGTCCTAGAAAGATGAGTGCCTGCCTTCTGTGGTGTGCTGCAGGGTTTGTTATTTGCATGCTTTTTTTTTTTTTTTTTTTTTTTTTTTTTTTTTTTTTAATTCATTACATTTGTCCAGCGTTGGAGCTTTCCTTTAACTTTAGAGCTGTCAATCATGACTTGTAGATATGCAAATGAGCAGGAAACACCAGGTGCTTTTTTTGCTCCTGCGTGTGTGTCACAAGTGCATGCGTGCATGCAGGCATGTGTAATTATGGCTGGGAAGGTAAAAGGGACAAAGAGATCAGGGAGAGCAGCTGGACTTTGGTATCTCTGGCAGTGAGTACACATGGAACATTGCTAAACTGTCTGGACAGCCAGTGTCCACTGGCAGTCTGCCCACACTCAAATTCCTGGAAAGGCTTAAGGCAGAAAAATAATCACTTGGAGGAGTCACCATCTGGGCTTGCTCTGGTCCCAGAGGGATTGCTCACTGGAGCTTGAGATGTGCATTTTCATGCAAAACTCCAGCGTCTCTTTGCAAGGCACTTTGAATCTCACTATGTTTCCTGAAACAACATTTTTCTACTTATTTCATCTAATACATTTAAAACACAGAGAGAGGATATTGGGTTATAGCTTCAGATGCTGACCTCCTTTATTTATCTGGAGTTCACTGCAGCAAAGGTTAAACCAGCAATGCAAGCATCCAAACACAGCGACATGCTGTATCCCACCACCCAGGACTGAGCCTTGGGGTGCAGAGAAGTTGGGGCCAGAACCACAAAACACAGCAGCACTTGGCTATGCAAACGGTGGGACTTTCACTGCTTTGAGAAATCAAGCACTTTCTCTGTCCCATGGTGCAGCTACCATCCTTTTTTGGGTCTCTAAACCTCCTTCAAAAATCTGATCCCTCCATCCTCCTCTGGTCCCTGACCTTTCTGCAGTTGCCAGCAAGCTCACATCATCATGTGCCGGCAGAAGGAAGGACTGGTGCAAGCAGCAAACACTCAAGGGGGAGCAGTCGTCAGCTTCCAACTTCAGGGATATTCAATTAAACCAGTCACTTATTGTCAAAAGGCTCCTTTGATCGCAAATCCTAAAAACACACAGAGTACTATGACTTTTCAACTTCCACTTTCCAGCTCCAGGTATGACCAGCAAACTCCCACATTTACCCGTGCGGTAGATAAACTGTGTCTCTCCTCCCGCAGACCCTGTTGCCCTGCCTGGCACGTAGATGCCAATGCACATTCGCAGAGTCGAGCCTGATCCGCGGCTCCTCATGCCTGGGGTGTTACCGGGCAGATGCAGCAGCGCAGCCCGATGCTCCCGCCTCAAATCACCCGCCCATCCTATCACGAGTGAGTAATTTCGGCAGCGCTGGAAGTGAGTGAGAAGGGGAGGCACTTCGGCCCACCTCTCCCCTCCCCTTCAAGCAGGCTGGCATCTTGCAGGATCAGGTTCAGAGCGACGAAAAGACAGACACACTGCAGAGGGCTCCGCAGCTGCGTTCTGCCTCTCAGATCCGTACGCCAGCTTTCTCCCCCCCGCTCTGCAGCCCGCCCGCTGCCAGCTACATATTCATGGTTGTAAATGCTACAGATTCCATTAGCCCTGCCATGTGCAGCTCAGCGCAGGCCAACAATAGCTATAGGAGTTTATTGTCCAACTCGACCAATTTCACAGCTCCCTGGCAGAATTCCCGGGAGTGCCAAGTGCAGAGATCCATTAATAAGGAACATGAAAACCTCTAATAAAATTTGAAATTCTCCTCCCAAAATGAAAGGATTCCTGATCAACACCACATCTGCAAGACAAATTGTCCAGTGCAGTGTTAGTTCTTATTATACTTCTGGGAACCTGCCACAGCAGATTGCTACAGGTTTCAGCACAG